TCAAATAATAATATATTCAAGTTCTGGACTGATGTCTCAACGCGTAACTCTAGTTTATGTCACTTTTTGGTACAAGAAGCGTCAAATAATAAATATATTCAAGTTCTGGACTGATGTCTCAACGCGTAACTCTAGTTTATGTCACTTTTTGGTACAAGAAGCGCTATCGTAAAGTTAGCATACCAAACGTATTATCGTAAAGTTAGCATACCAAACGTAGTATCGTAGAGTTAGCATATCTAACTTATTATCGTAGAGTTAGCATACCAAACGTATTAGCGTAGAGTTAGCATATCTAACTTATTATCGTAAAGTTAGCATGCCAAACGTATTATCGTAGAGTTAGTATACTAAACTTACTATCGTAAAGTTAGCATACCAAACGTATTAGCGTAGAGCTAATATACCAAACGTATTATCGTAGAGTTAGCATACCTAACTTATTATCGTAGAGTTAGCATACCTAACTTATTATCGTAAAGTTAGCATACCTAACTTACTATCGTAAAGTTAGCATACCAAACGTATTATCGTAGAGTTAGCATATCTAACTTACTATCGTAATGTTTACGATCATAAAGTTAACGTACCTTTCTTACTTTCATAAATTGTTGTATATATGTTCCGGCATTACACGTAGTGTATTCTTTTTTAATATATATCAGAGTGTGTATATAGTCAACACAAAAGTACAATTATCAGCTCGGAAAGAACCTCAAGAATAATCAAAATTGACCCATTGCTTTAAAACTCGATTCCCATAAACTACTCTAAACATTTTTGAAATATGATACACTACGGATAACGAAGCGCTGATAAAAATATTTTAATTTAATATAACTTAAAATAGAAATAGTGACATAAACCAGAGTCATACGTTGAAACATCAGTCCAGAACTTGAATATATTTATTATTTGAAGTTAGCATACCTAACTTACTATCGTAAAGTTAGCATACCTAACTTATTATCGTAGAGTTAGCATACTTAACTTATTATCGTAAAGTTAGCATACCAAACGTATTATCGTAGAGTTAATATACCAAACGTATTATCGTAGAGTTAGCATACCTAACTTACTATCGTAAAGTTAGCATACCTAACTTATACCAAACATATTATCGTAGAGTTAGCATACCAAACTTACTATCGTAGAGTTAGCATACTTAACTTATTATCGTAAAGTTAGCATACCTAACTTACTATCGTAAAGTTAGCATTCTTTCTTTTACATAAATTGTATAACATTACCGTCGTCGATGCATATAAATATCTTGTTTGGACCCAAACATTGTATGTATTCAAATCTCTAAGCTATAAAGTACGAAATACACAAAATTTCACTGTTCCTATACGGTCACATTCTCATATAACTTATAATCCATATCTATGTAGAAAAAGGTATAATATAATACTTTTTTATGATAAAGTATATATAAGGAAAATTTAATTACCATTTCTTTTGGTGTTATACTTAAGTAGGAACATCTAATAACCTTGATTATGGGGAACAATGTAAAACATTTTCTAAATAATTATATCCTTTATAAAACAACATACCACGTGACCAAAACCATGAATGTTTTGAAAAGCCAAAAATTAATATACCCTTCTTATTCTCACAAAATTAAATTACCCTTTTTTACTATAATAAACTTAATATACCTTCCTTACCATCATAAAGTTAGCATACCAAACGTATTATCGTAGAGTTAGCATACCTAACTTATTATCGTAGAGTTAGCATACCTAACTTACTATCGTAAAGTTAGCATACCTAACTTATTATCGTAGTTAGCATACCTAACTTATTATCGTAAAGTTAGCATACCTAACTTATTATCGTAGAGTTAGCATACCTAACTTACTATCGTAAAGTTAGCATACCTAACTTATTATCGTAGAGTTAGCATACCTAACTTATTATCGTAATGCTAACTCTACGATAATACGTTTGGTATGCTAACTTTATGATAGTAAGGAAGGTATGTTAAGTTTATTATAGGAAAAAAGGGTAATTTAATTTGTGAGAATAAGAAAGGTAATGTTACACAATTTATGTAAAAGAAAGAATTTAATAAAAATTACAGTTGTCTTTATTATTTTTTCTCAAATATTTCATCTATACAAGTAAACATCAAGTAAATTTAGATGGACAGATACATTCTCGTTTTATAATGTACTTAAATTTCAGTTGTTTACAGAGTCACATAAAGTGTTGTATATAGATAGGGCTGGTTGGCCCTATGTGTTGTTGTTTTAGCGTAAAGCTACACAATGGGCCATTTGCAGGGGGGATCGAACTCCGGATTGCCTAAGTGGCACACGTTAAAAATGACTTAATAAAATTTCGAGTTTAAAGTAGAACATATATTTAATTGGACGCATTTTGACTTGGTTAAAATTCCTTATATGTTGATATGAAATTATTCGTTTGCACCTTATTAAACGCTCATGCTAATCTAAGTTTTTCTTCCTTGTACCTGATTTACAAATTACTATCGTCTAGTTCGGACAAATAATGATCGTTTAACTAGTGGTGACCCTCATGCGTAATTTATATACGTTTTGCTTTATCATAGCGTTTTACACACACTATTACACGATCAGCCCAAGCGTCAAAAGAAAATTGATAAAGAAGTTTAACAACGAGCTACTATAATTACTGTTTCGTTTCTGTACAGCAACGAGGCAATGATTATAACTCACACATTTGGAACAACTTGTAATTACCAACTACGTGTTATCTTTCTTCAAGACCTGGTTCAGCTAACTTGTACTTTGGGTGTTCTACTGCGCATGATCTTAGATAGGCAACAGATCTTTTCGGTGGTTTCCGTAAAAAAACAAATACGATATTTTTATGTTTCACAACAATAAACCAGGACACCACAACTAGTAGAGCTGTTAGTTGTTGTTGTTAACAATGGTTCATCTGCGCTCTGTAAAGTTGTTAGACAAAGTTTACAAATCTCACTGGTATTTATTATTTACAAACTGACAACTTGTCGTTGTTTTTATTTTTTTTACACCTCCATGCGATTAAATTTAGTTTAAATAACATTCCTGAGCAACACATTTTCGTTTCCAAACACAAAAAAAGTGGTTTGTGACCTA